TAGCTGCTAAACATCTTCACACAAGGCTGCCAATTATGTATTAATGAATGGGCATACGTTTATTACACAAACAAGAAAGAAAAAAACTTTGTATTTAAAATAACTTAGAAATATCTTAGTATAAACAGCTAAGAATAAAAATTTAACCCTTTTCCCAGTAATATCTTTCATAGTCACTCAATCCCAGTGAAATATCATCCTGAACTTATTCAACTGACTCTTTCTCGCCATTCTGTTTAGACTGTTGAAAAAACTTAAGATTTTTTTCCAGTTCTGATGGCCAAGAAACTTCTTTCTAACTCTGATGACACTTGCTTTCTCTTTAGTTCTGATAACCTCAAGATTTGCACCAATTCCCATGGCCTAAATACTTTTACAAACTAAACTCTCACAGTCTGGTATCTTCTACAAACTAAAACTGCCCTTTTGATAGGATGATTTATTTTCTTCCCCTGAATTAATGCTAATGCCTCCTGTCCAATTGGTTCTGTGTAGGAAAACATTCAGTAGTTAACTCCCCAGGTAGGTAATTGAGTCATTCAACTTAATTCACATGCTTTCATGAAAAAGTTGTCTTTAATTCACTGCCTAATTTCTAATCTTTAAAAACAAAGGCAGACATATAAGGAAACGGGGTTTCCAGATGGAATGAGGGTGTGAATGGAGAGACTACAGGGAAGGAATCATTGCTAGTTCAATCTGTGACCGATATAACCCATGGTGAGAAGCCAGGTGAGATGGCAAGGTCATGATAGTGGCTATGAATATAGGGAAAGAAGTTGTTTTGTTTAATAAAAGGTAAAATGAAGCACTGGAGAGGATCACAAGACCACTTATGAAGTTTGACCATGTGTCTTGATTGATTAAATGGACAGAAGTCTATGTGAAATCTGATGAAAGTAAGCTGCAAATTTTAATACTGAACACAAAGGAAAGGATAGATAATCCCACTAATTCAGTCCCACAGACTCAAATTAAGAAGTTTGGAGAAGGAGATCCACAAAATGTGCTGCTATGCCAGTCAGAGAAATCATTATACTCTGTCCTATGCACCTACTCTGAATCTATGCTCTGCTTTCTCTTCAATAATACCATTCCCTTTGTCTTTCATTCTATGATTGCTTTGACATCCAATCTCCCTGAGCCTTTCACTGACATTGCCTTTTATTTCACTTGCCCCCTCCCCTTTACGACAGCAGAAAACCCTGTCTGCAGTTTTGGAGAAGAGTCATTGGTCTCAAAATGTTAATTAAGTTTCTCTCTGCACAGATGCTGCCAGAGCTTTTCCGACAGTTTCTGATTTTATTGGTTTGGACTTTGGTGCGTGTCAGACAACAGGAATTATAAAGGAGTAGCATGGCAGCAAGCTTCACATTGTACCTTTTCTCTCTACTGCCATTAATTGTTATAGACTTCAAAATGTTCTCGTGGCTACTTTCAGGCTTACTCATTCTCAGGTACCCTCTAGGATGATTGTTTCCATGATGAACTTCTCTCGGGCTTTTTCTATCTTGTGTCATTGTTTCGCACTTTCTGCTTGTCTCGGTGTCTTCTCCATATTACTTCAATCAATCTGTGTCCAGAACAGACGCACGAGAATACCTGGAGGCTTAGCACTCAAACCGGAACTCCATTAACAAACATATAGAGCTGGACCCCATATACCAACCACTAAGGAACAAATCCAGAAGTGATGTCCCAGCAAACCGAGACACATAAATAACAAGCGGGATAGAACATCAACGCTTCACCGGAGGCGCACTGATGATGTCAACTCGTATGGTGTCGAAATGTCTGCAAGCAAACTTATCAGCTCGGCAAGCAAATCAACAACTGAACCATATAATCCATATATATTAATGTTGTTTTGGTAGCTGAGTCTTACCATAGAGGATGATGAATGTGGCTTAATCAAAATCAGAGTCATTTGGAAAAAGAACTCAGTTTAGGAAGTATTCACGTAAGAAGTATCCACAGTTCACAAAGAGGAAACTGTGGATAATCAGTTAAGTAGATCTTAAGATAACAAGGTGTAGAGCTGGATGAACACAGCAGGCCAAGCAGCATCAGAGGAGCAGGAAGGCTGGCGTTTCGGGCCTAGACCCTTCTTCAGAAATTCTCCAGCATCTGCAGTTCCTACTGTCTCTGAAGCAGTTCTTAAGGATTTGATTTAGAGAGGTAATTTCTCTGGACATGAATATCTGTAAATTGACGGTATTGGGAAATGTGTTGAAAATGTTTTTGCTGTGTGTTTAAAGATTTTTCTAAACTATCTAGACAGCTCTTGTTTCATTTCATCTTTTGTGTATGAAAGTTCTGTTTCATTGTTAAAGAAACTCAGCAGCCTTGTGTCACTATGTTTCAGTAAATGACCATTGCATTAATTAAGATTTTAAAAAATAATCAAGCCAGGTTTAATGCAGAGTTCTGAGTCCAGTAGTACTGTCAGCTGGGATCGTAGCAGGTGCAACCCCTAAACCTTCCAATGTTCCTTTTCTTAGGCCACACATACAATTGCAACATCCTATGTTTTGTTAGTTTTCATGAGACAACTCTTTCCACAGTCCTCAGATGCACATTGATTGGCTCCATCCCAGCTGAGCTGTTTGTTTTTTTTAAAACCCACAGTATGTGAATTACAATATCTTCTAATGTACTTCACTGTAGTCCTGTTGGTTCTACTCTGTATGAACTTCTACCCTCCAATACTATTATCAGAAACTACCTCAAATTCCTGATAACTAAGATAAAAGATCTAAGAGTATGATGATATTGTGGATTTATGATGTTATATAAAGTTATCTGGGTTTGATTGTATTGTATTATCGAAGGGTTTTAGAGTGTGATTACTATGTTATCTGAGGATATTATGATATCATGTTACAATGATGTTTTGCAAGGATATTACAGTATGATGGCACTGCAGTAATATGATTAGGCTGTGAATATTATGGTATGATGGTATTGCGATGTTATCTAAGGGTGTTAGGATACTGTAGTATTATCTAGGAATAATATGATGCAATGCATCTCATTGAGATTCAAAACCTTGCCCAATTATCTTACCGAAAGGAATTTTTGCAAGTTGACCAGTTGGGGTGTTGTCCTCTTGCTGTCTTTATTATGTTTCTTGAACAGAATTGTCATGTCAATGTAGAAATCCATTCAATGTCTTATGTTAGACATACTCCATGTATTGTGATAGATTATTTTTGTTGATTGACACAAAATGCATTTGGATTAATCTAAGAACAGTGACTGAGGGAGACTGTGCAAGCAACATCGTGGATACTACTTTCTAAACTTTGTTTATTCTTTCAGAGAATACTATCACAGGTATAGTACTACTGTAGATCAAATTGAGTGTTTTACCTAACCATGGCTGACATTTCATTTAGTTAACATAAGTATATAAAAAGAAAGCCTGTTGGAGATTAAACGAATATAGGAGCTCATTTTACAAATGCTATCACAGCAGTAATCAAGAAATGCAAAAGCACCAGTAACAGGACAAAGATCAGGAGTTCTTAGAAAATAGGCTAGGGGTATATGTGTTTAAAAAAAAAGCCTAAAGCTATAAACCAGTTTTTAAAAATTAAATTAGTAAAAGCCATTTGAGTCTTCAAGTCAACCAATTCCATAAACATATGCAAGGCTGTAGTGCAGCTATTTAAATTCATTAGGAAAAGTTTTATATACTGACTTAAGAAACCTATGGTTTATTAGGCTTTTACACAGAAAAATTGGGTGTATCTACTTTTCAAAACTGACCCACTAATTTCACAAGTGTTGATTCATATTACCACCAATCCCAATCATGACTTGACACACATAATCTTCTCAGGTCAGACACATCTCTATGAGCTTCAGTTCCATTCCTCAGTAATAATTTTTCTGAAAGAATTAATCACAGAATGGATTGCTTTGATGAGAGTAGCAGTATCTCGGGAATGACACAAACTGTTTCCTGGTAATGCTATCCAGTGAAGAAGAACGCTGATACTCACTAGGCTTTTGCAATCCATCAGTGTCTCATGAAGTGCAATGATGACCAAGCAGAAGTCTTTCCTCAGTAATTATTTGTCAGTTTAAACAAGTACTTCTCAAAATAACATTTCTCAATTTCTGGAAAATTAATTTTGGCCTGGCTTATCAATTGTCTAAGACGTTCCAAATAGCCAATATTTTACACTTTATGGGCAGAATCTTCCTGTTTTTGGACTTAGTCCAAAAGCTGGGTGGTTTCCAGAGGAGAAACCCACAGCCTACCAAGGTGTGAATGTCTACTGAATCTTCCGGCAATCTGCTGTTGCAGGCTTTCTGCCAGAATTAGGATCTCATACCAGGAAGGCTTAGCTACCAAGAGCCACTGGTCAATCAGAGTCTGGTAGCTCCAGAACTCAGCAGAACCATGGAGACTGCAGCTGCTGTTGAGACTAGGCCACCTGGATCTTTAGGATGGAGGGTTATCCACAGAATTGTGTTGTCTGGGACTGTACCATGGGGAGACAGAGAACGGTAAACAAAAGCAAGCACAGGTTGGTAGTTTTCAGTGGTCAACCCTCTGCCCTAAGTCCAGCCCCTTGATCATTCACAAATTAGGGCAGATCGAGGGACCCTCCTTCCTAAATTTACAGCCTGCCTACACTGGTGAACCAGGTAGGTAGACCAATTCTTTCTCAACCCAACCAATGCTGACATAATTGTAAACCTGGCAGAACAAGGGCCTTAAGTGGTGCTTAATTGACCTCAGTTGGCAAGAAGACAGGAAGGTTGGGTTGTCCCACCCAGGACTAAATTCAGAAAAAGTCAAGAAGGTGGCAGAGGTCTGGTCTGCCAACATCTCGTAAACTAAATTCACTTCCCTCGCCCAGGTCCTGAAGGTTCTGCCCTATAAGTTTGTTTTAAACATAGATCTTCTGATGGCTGTTCAAAGAAAGATCATTTGAGGTCATTAAAAATGTTTGATTTATTGAGCTTTCAATGTCATTTATTTCCAGAGGTTGTTCAGCTGATTCTCCCTGAAGATAAGAAGATCGGTGTAACCACAGTAACAGTGGGACTGAGTGCTGTCTTATCATGTGCTATTCAGGGCATCTTGAGACCACCAATCATCTGGAAGCACAATGGGATCATTTTAAATTTCTTGGATCTAGAAGATATCAATGTACGTGGTCTGTTGAACTAACATGTGTGGTAATTCTTTTGCCATTTTCACTTAATATGTTTACTTAAACTTTGGTGATTGTGTAAAACAGAAAATATAACATCAGCCATCCATTACACACCTCTCTACAGTTAAACTACCAATGAAGTCAATAGACTTAGTTCAAGAGTGATATATAATGGACAAGTGACCTAATATCATCCTGTTTCATGGCATCCACAAAAGACAAGACGCTCAAGTGAGCTGTAAATCTGCCAAATTCTCTAAGCCTGTTGTACACCCCTGACAAAGTTGCAATTTTTGTCTGTTGTTCCACTGTGCAATCATTCTTCTCTTAATTGGCACAAATTTTTCTTTAATATGTTTTCTTCTGTCACTGTGCATCAAAGCAAGCAATTATTTTAAAATAACCACAGGACTTTGAGGAATATTAATTTATTTGCCCTATAGCTATGCAAGGAATTTAGAATTATATCTCATTTATTTTGTTATGTTTCTACATGTTCAATAGTGGGATCAGAGACATGTAATTAAGTCCCAGTTGTTCTATGCTCTTCTCCCCTAAGCAGGTAGTGTGGCACAGTGCTGGCGTACTATTTTTGAAACAATTCCAAACTCCTTTTTTTGCCTAGTGTGTTTGCATCAGCTTCAGGACTGACAGAATTATTCCTTCCAAACTACCCCGGTACTTAAAACAATCATGGAACAGTCCGATTCAAATTACCTCAACACAAATACCTCGCAAAATGACAGGAAGTTGCAATGCATTGGATTTTGTTAGGCATCATCTACAAGTGAACAATCGCCCATTTTCTTTCAGAGCTATGATTGGCGGTGACAGATTGTGTTCATTTTGCACCACCTTGCTGGAAAAAGTGGCAAATTGCAAGAGTGGCTAGCTCATGAACCTCAGGATGACCAAATAGCATTTTTTCCTCTAACGCATATGCAATTCTCTCTTATTCTCCATGTCCTTTTCTTGCTTTTCTTTTCTTATAAAAACAATCTGACCGTGACATTTGCAAGTATTTTCTTCTTATTTTAATCATCTATAATCTGTCTATATTAATGCAACCTGAGAAACAATTCTCAAAGTTTCAATACATTCTATTGTTCAGCGATGCTCTAATTTTCTGAACAGCATATTTCAATTTTTGTGCTTATTTCTCACTTGGACTACCTGCTCTTCATTGTAAAACAGTATATTTTTCTGCTGCTTTTGCAGGATTTTGGGGATGATGGCTCTCTTTACATTACTAAAGTTACAACAATCCATATGGGAAATTATACCTGTCATGCTTTTGGCTATGATGAGCTTCTCCAGACCCACATCCTGCAGGTGAATGGTTAGTAAATGTCATACCTGACAGTCATAGATAGTCTTCAAATACCACATGACATGTAATCTGATTATTTTTCAATCACAAATTAAGTTTTATAAATGCTGGATTAGCTGCTACGGCAACTTGACATTTGTGGTATTTATGCTTTCCATATGCTTTGCATTCACTAAATATGTCATTAATAGCAAGATAATTGATCAGATGTAGCTAGATATTGCTGAAAAAATATTATTATGTTAATGATGCACACCATTATTAATGTGAACATTTGTTTGCTAATTCAGTGGATTAAGAGACAGGCCATGACATGAGGAACACCAGAAATTGCTGCTTGATTTATCATTTCTTTGCTTTGCAAAACAAATATCATATCCTTTTCCCCATTATTTTAAAACCTCGCTAGCTTCCCACAGTAATTAAACTCAGCAAGGATTGGTAACTGTTTTAATAATGTGTGAACTGTTAATTCAGAAGCAGTCAAGCTCTCTGACCAAATATTTAATTGAACAAAACTGTGTGCGTCATTATTTTGGGTGATAAATTTTTGTTTGACAGCTTTAAAAGGTCAAATTGTATTTTTTTTTACTTTCTTTCTCACTAGTGGCTTTGTGTCTTTTCGAACTATCTTAAAATAGTTTTTTTTTCACCTCTTTATTTTTCTTTCTATATCTGATTTTATTAATACACCCTTCTCTGACATTCCTTTATTGTGCCTTTTTTATGGTGTTATCAACTTACACTTCCAGCACAAACATGTTTTCAGTTGAAGTTTCAGAAAATAAAAAATCTAACAGGGCACACTGCAAGGTGCCTGGCTCCAGCAAAATCTATTCCATTAATTTATTTTGAATTAACAGGCATGAGTGACCCGAGATAAGAATTAATGCCAACAGCCGCCTTATCCTTCAGATTAGGCCAGCAACACTTGACAATGACAGTTGAAGATTTCACATCTGTTTCACCATCAAAGTCACAACAGAATACTGTCAGGTTGTGGGCTAAATTTGTACATAATAACTTTGCACAGAAGTATCAGAAGAACGCCTGATGACGTTAATGGTACAGCGTTGGATGTTGCTCAAACCCCAATCTCAACCCAAACAGCACCAGTTTCCTGTTCAGGGATCCGATGGGGTGTATTTCCCAGACATTCTTCTGAAATTGCTACATAAGATATTATAACATGAAAATAACCACTATGGTTGAATATAAAAGCAAAATACTGCAGATGTACAAAATCTGAAATAAAAGCAGATGGGCTTGAAACATTCAGCAAGTCAGAAAGTTGAGAAGCATCTGTGAGGAAAGAGACAGAGTTAATGTTTTAAGTCTGTAACTTTGCATCAAAACCTATCACAATTTTTCTGTAATCTAAAGCACAGGTCTCCAAACTGTTTGAGTTCCACTAACCTGGCCTCTTGGTGCATTCATGACTTTAATTGCTCGACTATTTGTGGTTGAGTCTTCAAGTCCCTAGGCCCCAACAACTGGAAAACCTCCCTACACCTCTCTGTCTCAACTTCCTCCTTTAAGAAATTTGTCAAATCTGTCAGAACCAATATTTCCTTAGGTGGCTCGATGATGTGTCTAGGACTAGATGCTATCCTTTACTGCAAGCAGATTTGAAGCTGGAGGGAGCATGTAACATCCAGCAGGGGGCCTTTTATGCTGCCTTCTGCCTGCTCCAAACCTCTCTGCTGATTATCTAGCAATTTAATAACCACTTAAGGGCCTCCTTCCATGCCCACTGGTATTTTATCCATTTCCAGGCCAACACATGCCCCATGAGAAGCCCAGCAGTTTTAGTTGTGATTGCTGTGTCCTTCCTTTTGCAGGTCACCTGATCCATTGTGACCACACTCCCGAAGGTCATGATTGGCAGTTCTTATTATCTAAATTCTGATATTATTAAGGTATTTAATTGATCATCTTGGTAACTTATTTCACATTGTGCCTAGTGGGACTAGAGTGACAGTGCAGTCCTCCAGCTTTGGTCATAACATCCTCTATATTTTATTGGCTGTTACAGAAATATGGAAAAGAAATGAATAACCTTGCAGCATAGGTAAGGAAGAATTGAGTTTAGATTCCCTTGAATAGTCATCCTCAACTTCTTATTTTGTGAGACTCAAGCAAGAGCAAGAAGTATTAGAAAAGCTCAACAAGTCAGATAAAAAGAGTTTTGATCCAATTTCTGCAGGCCCCTGCATTTGGCTAAATACTTAGGTAGATCCAAAAATTAGTGCAATGCATCATTCTCCCTTGCCATGATTTTACAGGTGTCATGAGAGGTATTGGGTAGGTCTCCTGCATGTGGCCCACCTAAGGCCTTTAACTCAGCAATAAATGCAGAAGAAAAGGCCTCAACCCAATGTCATCTGAGTTAGTCGTTAAGAGGAAGACGCCTGAACCCAAAACCTAGCCTGAAGTGTAACCCCTAAGCTGCTCCTGAGTGAAATAAGGTTTGCTTCCTAGGCATCCCTATGACATAATTCCACAGAGGCCAGTGTCCCACCATCACATCACCCTTTATTTACATATGGAAAGTCCTTGACACTGATCCAGCTCCCTCAGAGCCAACTCTCAGAGTATCAGGATGTCTGACACTCTTGTTTTTATGTCAGCCAGGGCTCCCTGATTGGACCAGTCCAAGTCAGGGAACTCATATTCTATGAGGTCCACCTGGCTGACCTTGTTACAATCACTACACTCTATACCAAATGGAGGTATCAGTCTCACAGCCCATTTCTTCATATTGACAGAACTGATAAAGCGTCATTAAACCTGAAAAAGCAACACCATAGGATAAATTATAAACTGAAGGAAAGCTTCCCATAGCTCAGAATAAATTTCGGGGGTGAGCTCATGTTCACGTGACCATACGCTCCCACTTTAATTTGTCGGTTGATGGCTGTTTAATTAATATGAAGCAGGAATTCCCACTGCGTCCAGTGGGAAGTCCTGCCATATGGAGCTACCAGCCAATCAGAGGCCAGTAACCCTGTGTCACACCTACCCTGGTGAACACTGCTGGTATTGCAAAAGGGCCAGGAGGAAGGAGAACCAGAGATTTGCCCAAACCTGGGAAAGTTCAATATCTCATCAATGGCAGCTCCCAGAAAGGAAGGATGGATCTGGGGAAGGCAAAACAGTGGGGATTGCAAATTGACATGGAGTTGGTGGGGAAGCGGGAAGGAGGGCAGGAGGTCCAAGGGAGGACTCCCCTCCCCACCTCACCCCCTGCCCCAGGCCTCTGTTTGCACTGACCAGAAGCCTGTAGGTTAGACGTGCCATGTTACACATTGAGCCCACTCTCTCTTGCCACCTGTTACATTGCAGTGGCCGAGAAATGAGTTACTTAATTAGGTAATAGTTAGCCAATTAAATATCTGAACTGGACCACAGGGTGGGGCACTCACCCACATCTGCCCTGCCATCGAGGGTGTGTGGGCCGCACTGGGTACACCTTCTAATTTATGAGGCCACCCACCTGTTTTACAGCCCTTAGGTACAAAACCATAAAATTTAGCCGCATTCCACCTTAGGAACGCACTCAATTAAGTGTTTAAAATTTTGTGTTTCCTATTTCAAATTTCCATTGCCTGCAATACTTTGCTTCGTGACCATGTGAGGTAAATTGAAAGTTCCCAAATTGCTTCTAATTTAAATGATGTTGTAGTCACTACCTATAATGTATCTTACACACATTCTTTCTTCTATGACAAATGCTGCATTATCGTTATAGGATGAAGAGAGTTCTATCATTACCTGTTATTGTCATTCCGATGTCTGATATTCAAGAGAAACTCTCTTTCTTTTTCTGTGTTTGTAGTTCCTCCAGTAATCAGAGTATATCCCGAAAGCCAGGCACAAGAACCTGGTGTGAGTACCAGTTTAAAATGTCATGCTGATGGAATTCCTAACCCCAAAATTACCTGGCTGAAGAATGGTCTAGATATTACTTCAACATTACCTAACCAACTGGTGCTATTAGGTAGTATCTAATTTCATTGGCATCCTTTGTTTTCGAATGTAGTAGTGATATTTGCTTTTATACTGCATTTTGTCACATCGTAATGACACAGGACCATATGAGAAACCTCCATTAACATTCAGAGACTGCTTAACAAGGCAAATACAGCTTCTTTTCTACATTTGTGGACTTGCAATGTTCCACAGTCAGCCGTTAGCTTCATCAGTGATAAATCTATTTTACTGTGAACGAATATTGCAATTGGACTCAGAGCTCTTCTATTCTAGGTTTATTCAAAGTTTTAAATTGCCCATGCCTGTTTCTGATTTCCTCAGCAGCATCACAGGAACCCCTGGCTGTATAACAGCTATGGAAAAAAAATAAAACTTGGGGCCAAGGTCAGATGGAAACCTCTGAGGGAAGATTAGTGGGACTAGGGGTGCTGTTTCCTCTGGCCATGATAACCTTCTTGGTTCCACTAGAGTGTTTTCCAAGACTGTAGCAATGAGACATTTGGCTGGTGGCTTCCCCACATAGCAGGGAGTTACCCTACTGTTGGCAAAATGCTTCTAGCCCTGGAATTATGTGAAGTGGCTCCCTGCATCCACCAAGCAGGTAACCGCTCCATGTCTGCTCCTGCCAATCAGACTCCCTGAGATTTTACCAGGCCCCCACACCTCCTTCCTTACTTCTCAGGGCCTGGTAAAGTCTTTGCAATTTTGTAGCAAGCTATCACACGGAGCAACAAAATACATCAGCAGATATAAATTGAGTCTGACTTGTACATTTATATGCCACAAAAGAGTTTTTTTTTCTCAAACAGTGAGACAGCGTTCAAAAAAATCCAACCAGAACATCTGAATCTTGACTGGTCTATGTTAGGAAAAATTCTGGGGTCCTCTAATTAATCTCTCTCATTTGTAATGCATTTCCTGGAAACAGTTTGGGAAACATGGGAGTATTAAAAATGCAGGCATTAGATTAAAACAGCTGGGTTGTAATTAATTATGATAACAGAATAAAGTTCAATGAAGCAACAGCTTTAAAGATTCATGTGTGAAACTCATCTGAAGGGCAGTTGTGTTATCCAGGGTACTAGAGACTGTGTTCTTGAAAAAAGCATTGCATTGCAGTGTGTTTGATGGTACAATGCAGCAGTATTTTATCATTCAATGCATCAAACAGCTTGGACATACAAGTTCCCCAAGGTCAATAATTGGATCCCATGTTCTTGTGAGAAGAGGAAATAGGAAGAAGACATTTTAAATTTCAGATAGTGGCTACTTCTTTAGCAAACTATAACCAAGGCACCCACCTATCCTTCACATTGTAGAAAATGTTGCAGAGAGAATTAGAGCAGCAAAATGAAAAAGAAAATGTATCTCTAAAGTGGTCGTAGTTACAAATGAATAATGATGGATAATAATTGACTGAACTGTTTTAATGGATTAATGACTTCTGACAATGTAAGGAGCTGAATTAATATTGATTGACATGATCATTAACCCAGCATGTTTCAGCTTCAGCTATGTATTGCAGTCAGCTTGTAACACTGGCATCAGCAACTCCACTAAGCCTAGCATTCAATAAAGGCAGCACATCAAACAAAGGACAGAGGTGAGAAAAGATAGAATGTCTAAAATGATTCCAATTGTTCTCTAACTGATTGGCATTTAAATTGTGATCTCAATGTGAGACTGCCACTTTTAAAGACAACCCCTTAATTTTAAAATTTTCATTCCTGAATTTCTGTCTGCCCTCCTGATCTGTGGAATTTTCTCCAACCTTACAAACCTCCAAGATCTTTGCACTTATCCAATTCGAATGTTTTGCATCCCCAGTTTTCATTGCTCCACCACACAGCAACATTGTTTATATGAGTGCTAAATTCTGGAATTTTCTTCCTAAACCTCTCCATATTTCTACCTCTTTCCTCTTTTAATACATAGATTAAAATCTATTTACTTTATCAAGTTTTCGGTCCCTGTCGCACTACTTTAACATTTCCTTACATGACTCGATGTGCAATTTTGTTTGACCATCACTCCCATGAGGTACCATGACAACATTAAATGGAAGCTATTGTTATGTCTAAGTCTCTGAACAATAACTGTTGATAATTACTTTGTTTTGTGCATTCTTGTTTGTGTTCTGTGTTTCTATAGCAAATGGAGGTGAAATTCACATTAACAGTGTGCGTTATGAAGATACAGGGGCATACACTTGCATTGCAAAGAACGATGCAGGAGTTGATGAAGACATCTCGTCGCTTTTTGTCGAAGATTCAGCTCGAAAGACTCGTATGTCCAAAATGCATTAAACCACTTGTTATTGAACTCTGAGCTAATTTGCTGTACAAAAAAAGGTGGAGATAACACCAATTCTTGATCATACAGATTGTTACCATGAGGGAACTGAGTATCATAATGTGTTAGAACACTGTTCTATTCTCTCCAGTATTCTGGTAGAAAGTCTTCTGTCTCTGCCAACTGCTTGAAATGAATTTAGAAATGTTTCTTAGATCATGAGTTGACAGGACCAACTGATATAAAATTAGAGTTGTCAGTCCCAATAGAAATAATTTAAAGAGCTGACAGAGGACTAGCACAGCAGCATGTAGCACAGTCGCATATGTAGAATTTCAAAGCCGATGGGATATGAGCATGTCAGACAAACCAACTCTACATTAAGATATCTTTTTTTTTCAAATTAGAAGTTAACAATTAGGTTCAAAGAAATATAATCACTACCATTAATGCAGCAAATTAAGGAAAAGAAAGTCTTGTTAAACTAAAAGGCTGAAGCACCAAGTCTCAACTTCTGACTCCACGGGCACTCCTCATAGAGACCTGAATGATATGAGCAAAGGCAAAATTTGTGGCATCATCTGGAGAGGTCCATCCTGATGTCAGGAGCAAGTCGCTTCATCTTTCATGTATCTGCAGAGAGGTGTGGCAAGTTTCTCACTCAGCAGTAATGAGTTACCAATTAAGCATATTGTTGTTTGTTAAACAGCTTATTAATGCCACAACTTGCCTCAGTTATATTAAGAGAACATAACTCATATAATCCCTACAGTGTGGAAACAGACCCTTTGGCCCAACAAGTCCACACTGACCCTCAGAGCATCCCACCCAGACCATCTCCCCATAATTCACCTAAGCTACACATCCCTGAACACTATGGGCAATTTAGCACGGCCAACCCACCTACCCTACACATCTTTGGACTGTGGGAGGAAACACACGCAGACACGGGCAGAATGTGCAAACTGCACACAGACAGTCACCCAAGGGTGGAATTGAACCCAGGTCCCTGGTGCTGTGAGGCAGCAGTGCTAACCACTGAGCCACCATGCCATTTTGCCATCTTAACCAAGTGCACTGAACAAGCTAGATGCTGAGAATTTTCGACATGGATGTCAGAGTGGATAATGTCAGCTTACTGCTGGCTGCAAGGAGCCTCCATGTTGTCCAGGACCAAGCAGCACCCCAGGGCATGCTCCACAGGACAAAACCACGCATACCGCTCATCCACAGACATTGGCACCTGACATTTGCTCATAATCCTTGTGGCTCCTCTCTGTTCCACTTGCAGAATGTTTGGGAATCACAGACCTGCATTTCAGGGCACACTGGCAACTAACATTGAAGTTTGCTGCAAGGAGACATTGCACATGAAGATAGACACCGAACTCACAGATTGGATCAGGCTGCATCTTAGAGGTGCTTGCTTGCTCTGGCTCATTGAGCACCTACCCACATGCTCACCAGCTTTCCAATTGCCTTACTATGTTGTGCCAATTAGGACAGTCACATAATTAGGTACTCTACCCTGCCAGCCACTAGTGCTTAGTAAAGAGAGGCTGACATCTTTTTGTGTGCTAGGTCAAAGTCGCATCTGTACCTTTGCCAGAAGCTGACGCAGTAAACATACTTCATGTGCAGAAATCAAGCAAGCCATGTCCCAAAGCCTTTGGGGTATAGACCTTACTGATGTGCTTGGAGGCACCTATCAGTTAGGGGTTTCTGGCATAATAGGTCAAGGGCAGTCTCCCATACAGTCATGTACCCAGTTTGGGTGTTCTGGGTCAGGGTTTCATGCTCTATAATCTGGGCAGTGGTTCATGGTAAGTCCTGTGGTTTCACAGAGGCCAGTCTGGGGAGGGCAGAGCTATACAGTTGGGGAGATGTACAGGCATCGGTCAGGGCTCTGGGCAGTTCTTATTCAGAAGTGTCTGGTTAGGTCACTGAAGGAGTTAGGCCACCGTCAGTCTGTCAGGTCAATGCAGAGAAGCTAAAGAGAAAGGGCGTTTGGGTCCGACCTGGCGGTGGGGGCGCTGCTACAGGAAGGAGACTTCAGAACCTATTCATTGGGAAAGCGGATAACAGTTCTGAAGTGGAGAGCAGCTGCATTTGTCAGAGGGGAATATGGTAAAGCACAGTTGGGAGCAGTGTTCCAGGAATGGCTTTTGGTAAGACAGGGACAGAATTGGATGAAAGGGACACCATAGGAATAGAGTGGGGTGTTTGGTAAGATATAGCAAGAAACCTCACTGGACCTTGTAGCAAACCCATTGCAAGAGGCACTGAGCCATGAAAACATAAGATTCAGACCATTACGTCTTAACAGAGACTGCACTAAATGGAAAAGCAAGACAGAAGCAATGTCTAGCTGAGTGAGCAAAGCACAAAACAACAATGCAAGGCAGGGATGCTGTGGCCATCCAGGAAGGGGCAAAGTAAGTGAATGATGCTATTGCGAGAAAACAGCCCAGAGACACAGCCTGGTCCAGTCCCTTAGCTGGGTTCATGACCCTGAATGCATGGTGCCCTTGCTGCAGCATTATAGCAATAGTTATTATTACAACCTGAGATGCAGCAGTGAAGTGCACAAACTTCCTGCAAGTGGATTGGAGATGTGCCCTGAGGGATCTTAGAGGCTGGCATGTGGCAGTGCCCATGGAGTATGCCATGAAAAGCTAGTGCCTGGTGTCCAGCTTGGAGGTCATTCAGAGTAAATGGTAAGCTGGATCTGCCAGGTGATGACTGTGGTTTCCATGTCAAGTTTTCTCAATGTCTAATATGTTCACTGAGATTGTTAAGATTGATGAGGCGTGTTGGGTTGTCAATGAGGTATTTGACCAGCAATGATTCTCTGTAACTGCCAACACCTGCTAATGAGTGAGGAACTTACCAGACTGCCTCTGAAAAGCATGAAAGATGGAGCAAGGTGCTCCTAACATTGAGGTGGACCTCAGCAAACACTGATTCTACCACAAGTTCATAGAAAACTTTGAAACATTGAGGAAAGGAGCTGGAGTAGGCCATTTGGCCCTTCAAACCTGGTGTGCGAATCAATATGATCATGGCTAATCATCTAACCCAGTATCCTGTTCCTGCTTTCTCCCCATACCTTTTGAACCCTTTAGCTCCAGGAACTATATCTAACTCCTTCTTGAAAATATTCTGTGTTTTGGCCTCAACCAGTAGGGAATTCCACAGGCTCATCACTGTCTGGGTGAAAAATGATTCTCCTCATCTCAGTCCTAATTGCTGACCCTGTATCCTTAAACTGTGGACCCCTGGTTCTGGACTCGTGGTCATTGGGAACATCCATCCTGCATTTGGCCTGTTGAGTCCTATTAGAACTTTATAGTTTTCTACCATATCCCCCCGCCTTATTCTTCTAAACTGCCTTGAATATAGTCCTAACTGATCCAGACTCTCTTCATAATTCAGTCCTACCATCCGGGAATTAGCCTGGTAAACCTTTGTTGCACTCCCTCCATAGCCAGAACATATTTTCTCAAAGAAGACCAAAACTGCGCACAGTACTCCAAGGGTAGTTTCACAGACGCCCAATGCAACCACAGCAAAACATCCCTGCTCCCTACTCGAATTCTCTTACTATGAAGGACGCATACTGTTTATCTTCTTCACTACTAAATGCTTACTTTCAGTGACTGGTGTACAAGCCAGCTAGCATGTAGCACTCCCTATTTAGGTAAACAGGAGGATTAGTGGCAGAAGGGCCACCTGGCTTTAAAAAAAACTCCTACCAAATTCAAAATTGAGGGTTGATATGAAGGTGACAATGAGCATCATGGCAATCCCACATGGCGTGTGGAAAAAGTTAGTTGTCTCAACAAAGTCCCAATCTTTGTAGTATATTTTATATAAGCTATCATTTAGGGTCAGCGACCATATCATACTGGCAGTGGTGTTTGATCCAAGAAACCACATCGTTATGACAACAAGTAGCATTAAAAACTAAGGCTGACAGCTGTTTAGTGAGTGATAGACAGTACTGAAATAGGGCAGCTGTGAAAAGAATTTCTCCTGATGGTAAATCCTCATCGTCTACCTGAGTTCAGAGATGTTGTTACAACTACAACCAAAATTAGTGCTACAACCCATATGGATGCACAACAACCTCAAAAGAGAGAGAACATTATGTGAGTACTCTCTCTTTAAACAAAGGCCACAACTGGGCTAACTTAAGAAAAAAGGAACTTTACAAGTGTTAAAGAGCAGATCCCATTTAATAAAGTACAGAAAGGAAGTACCAATAATTCTGCTTTCTATAAAAGCCTTATCTGTATCCAGTCATCAGATTTCACCATCTTGCTCTTTAAAATGGTGCACAAACAAGCAAAAAAATGTATGCATAATGTCATCACCTCTTTTTGATATGAATACCACCTACAGATGCAAGCTACTACTTTTAAAGTAGTAATAAAGAAAAGCCACACCAATTTGTTTGGAAACAGAACAGAAGATGCATTACATTACTCTGCAGATTTTTATGCTGGCATTTTAAAGAGTTTGGCAAAGATCGAAAGCAAATATCTAGCATGAATTGGCAAACCACTGACAGAGCTTCCATTATTTAGGATTAATCTTCACTTCCTGGGTCAACACACAACTTCTAAAGAAAGACAAACTATCGAACTCCTTAAATAAAAACAGAAAGAGCTGGAGAAACTCAACAGATCTGGCAGCATCTGTGAAGAGAGAAGCAGAGTTCATGTTTCAAATCCAATTTAATAATTTTTTGGACCTTCAGGATTTATTCAACCATTTCTGTTTTTATTTCAGATTATGCATTTCAGTCAAATTTCTTATAGCTTTGGGAAAAGAAGAATTTAGAAGAGTTAAATCCTTTATTATTTCTAATGATGACTGTAAAGATCCTGACAAAACTTTCCCAATTTTAGTAGACCAGCTTAAGTTTGAGTCATCAGCTGGGTAAAATATTTGATTAATTTGTTGGCAGGTGTTGATACAAAAGTACACAA